GAATACAAGAAAGACGGCTTTCTCATAGGCTCTAATCACAGAGTATTCCAGCCGAGGTGTCACATTGGCTTTGTTGTTTGCCAGAAATCCCTTCAGGAGGCCTCAGTCAGGTCCTCTAATCAACATGTTTCCACCTGACAAAAACTAATGGGACTTAATTGGTATGGCACACCACTGCTTCCCTCACACTTCAAATCATAACCTAGACCTGAAACACACATCAGCATCAGCCCAACATGTATTACCCGTAGACTTTGTTGAAACAGTATTCACACATTATTTTCAGGTTTCCAGCTGGCCTAGCCTGAGGGTCCGCATATCTCCTCGGTAATTAGCCACGTCATGGTCCAAACATAGAATTACTTAATGCCTACTACGTTTCCTTTCTGAACATGACAACAACAAAAAAAAGAACAGTGTAACTGGAGTGTAAACCCAATAAATAAAAAGAAGAAAGTGCAATTTAGGCAAACCATCATTAATATCACTGCAACAGCGTTTAGACCAGGAAGAGATGTATTGAGACTTCTAAAAAGCCTTTAATTTTTACAGCACAAGAGGAAAAAACAAGCCAATGAAGCAGGTGCTTTGGTGAGACAGATAAAGAGAGGAAGACAGATAAAAAGATATGCTCAAGCCATGCTAGTTTGTTACCATTGGTCCCTATTAATAAAGAAAAATAAATTTTGCATTGGTGCTCCACTGATTTAGAACTACACTTCCATAATGTTGGGGGACTCACAAAAGACACATTAAAGAAAGAATGGTTCAAAATTAAGAACCAGATTATGCGATATCCTGAATTTTGTTGTCTAGTATGTGTTAAGCACCAAAAAAACCCGGATCCTACATTTCCCATAATGCAATGAGGCTAGCTTCTCATTAAGAACGCCCTGTCTGGTTGAAACTTACATTTTTCAAAAGGCATATCCCTAGTTTGCAACTTTGTCTTTCTGTTATGAATCTGTAGTTTCAAGTGCTAGACAACCTCGATGACATGATCTTAGTAATTTTTTCAAACACTGTTAGGCTTCCTCCAGAGCTAGAGAAAAACAAATTAATGTTGTACTGCTGGGTTTCTCTCCACCTCTAAGATGGCACTTCAAAGTTAAAACACTCTGCCAGAAATGTGCTTTCGTTTGACCACGGTAACGTTTGAAAGAAATCAATGTTGACAGTTGATGGAAACCGAAAACAGATATCGATCTCCTGTGTTTAACTCACATGCTTTGTTGACTCATCCATCCACCTAAACATGTTCCCTACAAATTCAGGCCACTCGCCACTTTGGCCCTGATAGAAAACTGTCACAGTTTACAACAGGTGGTCTGTGTCAGGGAGAAAATTTGGTTTTTAAACTCACATATTTCAATATAATACTAATTCCCAAAGTCATGATTATAGTTTAAACTTAGGGGGGAAAAAGAGGTTTTTAACACTCAAAATCTAACAGAGTAACCCCACAACTGTCACATTCAACCTTGTCTCCTACAGCAATTTACAACATCAAACATGTTAAGTAGGAAATGTGTTCTATGGCTGGATCATGTTCAGAGGCAGCATATTTTTGAATGAATGAAGCGCTACATTTATCATCAGAAAGAGAATTGCCAGCAGGTAGTCGTGGTGGATGTTCAGGTTAGGGAAAGATCGTGGTTTTGGTGAAGCGTAAATAAACACATTGTGTCCAAAGTCACTGTGAATGTTTTCAGTATCAAACCACAATCTTTCCCTAAACTTAACCAAGTGCTGTGAGAGTCTAAACATAACCATAAATAATTCTATTGTCACTACAAATGGATATTGAACTGCAGAAAACAAATGCGTTGTGTGTGAACATTTTACTCTTTACTCTAAGTATCAACATTTCTGCTACTTGCCAAACATGTTAATTAATTATGTATCCTAATTATGTGAACAGAAAAGACAATCCAGTCAATTATGTTTCGTACAAAATGTTGCAGGTAAGTTGTATAGAAACATAATTTACAGGAGACAGGGTTGTCATACTTTTAATAAAAAATGCTGAACTCTGATTGGTGCATAAAAAATGTGTGACATCATCTTTATCCCATTGAGCCTTTCCCTCTTCAACAGTGAAGAGACCAACACTCAAAACAGCAAAGACAGAATTGGCTCATGTGAAATGCCCCAAACTTTCCGAACCCTTACGTTAAAGGTCCCATACAGTATAAAGGTAGATGTCCATGTGTTCTTTGATTATAAAGCAGTTCTATGTTCTATATTAATACTGTGAAAATATCAAAGTGCTCAGTCCATAGAGAAATGCACACAGCCTGTATTCAGAAACTGAGCCTTAAAACGAGTCGTCAGGACTTCTGGAACTTCTTGATGTCACAGATATACAGTCACTGACCCTCACTTATGCCCCTTGCACGGCCCACCTGGATTCACCATCTAACCTTGCTGGATTTGGCTCAGAGCCTCTCTTCTGATTGGCTCACCAACCTGCTGTTGCTAGAGCTCCAGAGAGAAGCCTGAGAGAGGAGATGTAAAACTAAATTGAGATGGTTTTTGGTCCTTAAAACCACAAATATTTCACTTATGGATCAACACTTCAAATAAAACACCAGAAAAGGGTAAAATATGGGACCGTTAAGAAGCCTGGTCTTCATCGTAAATGGAAAATGTGTTTTAAGGGCTTTTTTTTTTTTTTTAAATCCATGGTTCCTAACTGGTAGTTCATTGTCCAAAAGTAAATCAAGACTGTGCTGCTAAGAGAAACACCAGCTTCAGTCATTTCTGTTCAAATGTATTAAAAGGTTTTCAGTGTTGCCTCCCCTGAATTTAATGAAACTCTCCACTCACACTAATGAAATTCTGTCAGAGTAAGCCTTTTAAGTCATGGTGACCTATAACATCTATTCACTGGTAAAGAAACTTAAAGCAGCTACCCTTAAAATAAAATGACTGAATAATCAAATGTGCAATAAACATGCAGCTTTACTGTTAACTTCTCAACTGCAGTCAGGGTGACGGAGTAACACTATTTCAAAGTATATGATCATAACAGAGAAATGGCAGTTCTCACCTTGTCAGTGAAACTCTATGTTAAAAGAGAAAACTGTTTCTCACTACAGAAGGAATAGAAAAATGTTTCCTCTGAACTGAGATACACTGAAGACCGATCATCAACTAACCACTATTTAAATTCATCAGTTATTAAGAAAGTGACAAGTTTAATAAAAAAGGTCCTTCACAAGTTCTGAAGCCTGTGTAAATATCATAAATAGGGCTAAGTGCTAAAACACCAAAGTTTTCTATTTTCAGTTTTCAAAAGAGGACAGATTCCAAACAGAAAAAAGACTGGCTGCTGCATGTTTAGTGATATATTGTATATATCTATCATACTATCTGATACATGCACATGGCTATACTGTATGCATCATAAACCTGAAACACTGATCACAGTTGGTTGCTTTAGTGGATGAGCAGGATGCAGAAAGACAAAAGTCAGAGTCATTGGTGTCAATCTAGAATGAGAAGAATCTTCATCCAACTGTACAAGCTCTATTCCAACACTATTCATAAAGTGAATATTTGCCTCATTATGACTCAGGGAGTGTTTTGAAGTCTCCTGGATTCTTCCACTGACAGTTTGCTGTGAAAACAACCAGAGACTGTGTGTGATCACCCAGAGAGACAGATTCCAAATTAACCAGAAACTTCAGCTTCAGCTTCCCATGGACCACTCTACACTCTAACTGTTTTGTTTTCAGAATGTTAACTTTGACTGTTGTGCATTTAGTAAAGATTATTTAATCTAAAAAATCTTCAGTGGCTTTAAGAGAGTTTGCAGCAATAAATTGGGAATAAAGAAATGTTTATTTTGTTTTTAAGGCAACTTAAAAGGCAGTTTTTGAACATCAGTAGCGCACTGAAGGACACATTACGAAGGAAATGCATTCAGCAGGTTTGTTAAACATCAAGGATAAACAGTGTGTTTTTGTGAGTCACACTGAATATAAACAGTTTGTTTATATGAAGATTCCAAATTTGTTTTCTTGACGAAGAAATGAATGTATCGCATTCTACGAAAAGAACTGTCCTCAGTAGATTCCATTTTCCAAACGACATGCTTATGTCACGTGTAACGCAAAAGGTTATTCCAGCCGTGTTTCTTTATCATTTTAATTCATGACTGAATAAGTGACGATTACAGTGAAACATTGGAGAAAAACGGTTTTTAACACTACTCTAGCAAGACAACAAAACAACCCCACAACTGTCATATTAACCCTGTCTGCTACAGGTTACGTTGCCCTATGAGTGAGAGAGAAAGAGGAGTGGACCTCTCTCTCTCTCTCTCTCTCTATAACCTGAGTGATGACAGTAAGATAAAATAAAACAAAATTGTCATTGACTCCAAAATTTCTTTTTACAAACATTAAAAAGCAGCAGGCTGAGAAAGCAAACTAAATGACATGTTCCATCTGTCGATCTCCTCCTCTCTAAAACCACAGCACAGCACCTACACACAAGAAGCAGTGCTTCATTACAATCAGCTGCACTGAGTGTGTGTGTGTGTGTGTGCACGTGTGTTGTAAGCATGGTTATATGCCGTTATATACGTGAAACTTTGGCGGAGCAAATTAAAATTTAATTTAATACTACAAATAATAAGTTAATGGGAAAACAATTCCAATATCATCTTGACATTTGCAAAGGCATGAGCAACGAGCAAAGAAGATTGTTCTGATGATCGTCGATCACTGATATAATCATCCCTAGGCACAACCCTAATTCAGAGGCAACATACAGTATTTTTGAACCAATGAAGCGCTGCATTTAGTATCAACAGGAGAATTGTCAGCAGGCTGTTGTGGCAGATGTCCAGGTTAAGGAAAGATCATGGTTTTGGCGAAGTGTAAATAAACACTGAAGTCACTGAACATTTTCAGTGTTGAACAAGGCCACAATCTTTCCCTAATCTTAACCAACTGCTGTGGAATATAACAGGTCACAAAACTTCGTCTTACCAGTGTTGAGGTCCTTATACTCCTGGGAGAAGTGCTCGTTCTGGTGCACCCACTCCCCGTTGCATTTGAAGAAGATCTGTAAGGCTGGCGCGGCTCGGCAGCGCAGCTTGATGGGGTTACTCTTGACAATGTAGGCGTCCTCCGGCTCCTGGATGAAGTGCGGCAGGGTGCCCTGCACTGAGGGTAGGGCATCAGGCTGAGCATCACCGGTGGCACCTGCAAACCGAGACCTCGGTTACTTCATCTTCCCAATACTGTCTGTCTTTGAACAATACTGACGTGAACAATAGGTAGACAGACAGATACAAAGGGAAGCCAAGTCCTTTTCAGTTGGTTACACAACTGAGTGAAAAACACTTTCAGATTCATTTTGTTTTACTAACAACAGTGTAACAGCAACTGTTTGCAAATTTAAAATGATTGCTCGGCGGACAGTTTTTTGAATTCCCCATTCATCAAAAGCTAACATATTGTTGAAAGGCAACATATTCACAAAGTACAACTCGTCCTCCATTCAAGCAAAACTGTTCTCCTCAGAGCAATTTGCAGATGAATGAAATCAGAGCAGACCAAGTGGAGAGGCATTAGGAGGGGACTGATTACCCAAATTGTGTCTGTGGAGTCTGAATACATCTTATCTCAGTCACAAGGCCTGGATTCTGGTCCCCACAAAAAAAACAAAAACAGCCTTTGTGCTGCCGCCAATGTGCCACCATCTTTGACGACAACTCGCGGCAGGTTAACCCCTTTCCTTTCAGTTTGGTCAGAGTCCGGCCCGGTTGTGGTGGCAGCTGATCGATCTAAGCACAGTTTTGGAAACAATAATCCGAGAGACTGTGAGAGCATGACTTTGTGTTAGGGATTTTTTTTTTTTTTTCCTCAGTCTGAAGGTAGGTCTCGGCCTCACCTGGTGTCCTGTGCTCGCCTCCTCTGGGCAAAGCACAGAGCGCTCTGTTGGCTGGGACAATAAGGAACAGGATCTTTGTGATCCTGCCATCCCCGGGATCCTTCTCAGAATTACACCTCACTCCCATCAAGGCAGCTCCAGCTAAGCTATTCAGTGCCGTAAAAGCCCATGAAAGCTATTATACCCCACCATCAAATCCAATTTTGTCCCCTGAAATCGAATCGGCCGCCTCACCACCTCTCTCAATCAATGTTGTCCTTGTTAAATGGGCAAATGAATGGATGCAGGTGTAGAGGGAGGCCACACATAAAACAAACAGGGAAGGTGACTGAAATGGGAATAATATGCTGACATTACCCACTGCAGGACAGGTAGATGTCTTTTTTCACATTGCTAACACATGCACTTCCTTCAGCTATCGATAGCACCATTATACCCTGCTTTCTTTGTGCTCAATAGTTGGTGGAATAATTTAAAAAAGGAAGGAAAAAACATGGATGCTGCAAATGTTCTGATAAAATCCTTCAGGGTAAGTTGTATGATATTTTAGTTATTTCACACAGAAAGGTTTGTTTTTTGCTGTGAAAGCTGATAAATGACATGAAAATATGGGTGAAAAGTAGCAATGTAACCAAATACAAATACAGTATCCGAGTATGATCAGTAAATGTACTTAGTTACTTTCCACCAAAAAAAAAAAACTTCTACTCCACTACATCTTAGAGCAGCCTTTCTCAAATCCGCAGACCACATGTGGTCCAGAAGCGACCTCTGGTGGTCTGCGAGTAACTTTGTTATATAATATAATAACATTAAATCAACTCATATGTAAATTATTATTTGAACTGGCTGTTTTACAGTGTTAGTTCACATACCTTCGCCAGTTTACAGGTTATGTTTTACAATTTACATCAAAAATGATCAACGTGACATGTGAAAGGAATTGTGGATGAAGATAAGGGTCAGTCTTCCCTGTGATAGTGCTAAATTTCACCAGTTATCAGCAGCCTATTAGATTAGATTTCCAGTGTCCAGCCTGTTGGGACGATTGCATCCACCACAATAACCGCTGTAGTATTTAATCGAAGGCGACAAGGGCATGTGGTGAGCGTAACGACAGCGGCCATGTATCAGGGATTTTTGGGAAATAATAATCTGCAATGTTATCGGATGACATGTGACTACTCGAGTGACTTAAATATGAAAGTGTTTCCATTTCACTATTGTGAAACATTGCTTTGTCAAGTAGTCACCTCATGCAAGCGTATACATTTTTTTGTGACATTTTTTTTTGAATATTTTAATTTTATTTATTTATTAATAATTTTCGAAATTTCATATGTTTCCGTTGCTAATTTTTTAGTCTGTAATTTCAAATTGTGCATTAAGCAGGTTAATGAAAACGGCACTAGTAAGAGCCCATTAATGAGAATCAGCCGTTATATTGACATTGTTTTATTATTCTTACTATTTATAGAGGATATTTTAATGTTTTTTTTTTTTTTTGTGCTTTCCAACTCAAATGTCTGAATATGAATTTAAAGTGTATTGCTCTTTGAAATGGTGGGCTTGTATTATTGTGCTATTATATTATTAGTATATCAGTCGCATGAAATGAAAAAAATATGATAATATCGTTAATTGCAATTATTTCTGGGATAATATATTATCCAACAAAAGTAGTTATCATGACAGGCTATGACAGGCATGGATGTACGCTACCTGACAACACCTGTGCTAATGTAACACTGTCATGAAGAATCAAAGACATGTACCATTATGTCCTCAGATTAACAAGATGTGCAGTCTCAAATCATCTTCATTCCCTATTTATAGACACAGACACAAGAATCTTTGTTATGTTGCATACATATGTCTGTAACACGACTGTTTGTGAGGTAATTTTATCCATGTGTTGACAGTATTGTATCTTGATTGTTTGATCCTAATGTTTTTTTGTTGTTTTTTTGGTTGTGTTTTGTTATTTGATGTTTTGCATTGCAATATTTAAGCTGTTTCTGTTCTATATGGGTTAAAATATTCTGGCAAAATCCTCCGTTAGATGGCATTAGTTCATGTCGTGATAATGTATAAACGTTTATGGCATGAAGAAAGATTGGTTTTGTGCTGTAAAAGCAGGAACATGACGTGGAATTGTGTGTGACAAGAGGGGCAAATAGGAAAAACACTAAACATACAGGTATCCCTTTGTAATGAGAAACATGAAACGGCAGCAATTTTTCCATAACCACTGACTGACAGGTCGAAAATGACTCTAAAGCGGATGCAGATTAGATTATTTCCTGCTGCTATATGCTGCTGGATAAGAGGGACCAAACTGGATGGTTCGGGGACAGTACATGAAATCAATTCATTACTTCTATCTGTGCAGAGGAGCTCGGCCCAGTGCACACATCTGATGCAAAATTGACTCCCGTCAGATTTTTAATTTCTTCCCGACCCTGCATCCACCCACTTTGTATTTAATACATTTACATCCAATTATATATTCATGTCATACATGACATTTTCAAAACAAAACAAAGAGGAAAGAATGTGCTGCGACAAAATCAATGCAGTGATGAATGTTTGAATGTCTGAACATCACAGGCAGCGCTGCAGTTCGAGCCAGGGTTTTCTTTTTTATCCATATGTATCACCACATGTGGCGGCAAGCCATTACCCGAGCTAACACAAGCTGTTTTCCACACACACTGAGGTTTTCTGCATCTTAGCTCTTTGATGTAAAAATTATACATCCTCTGCATCCAGTATCTTTTCTTTCCTTCTTTTATTTTTGGGGTTTTTTTGTTTTTATTTTGTTTTGGTTTTTTTACAAGGAACAATTTATTGTGACACCTTGCAGGTAATTATCATTCTCATCTTTAGGCAAGCTGTTGGATTTTCAAAGGATGTAAGTGCTTTGTCTAACCTGGTGCGACCTGTGCCTTGTCGACGTGTGGAGAGCTATTTTCAAACGAACACCGCCGGTGCTCATCAGCACATTGTGCCCTGTCTCTGACAAACTTTGGAGGCGTTTTCTTCCAAAAGAGCAGCGCCTCTCTTGCTGAGCGCACATTAATAAGAAAACCACACAGCTCTTACAGGAGCTGCTTACATTCATCTTTTTACTGCAGATATTAAGATCTGACTGTTTCATTAATGATGCCACTGAAAGCTGAATTTCAGTTTCTGCTATATAAAGTTAGAGTCCCTACAAGTAGTGTGGATAAATAATGAGTAATGTTAACTGTAATACAAATTCAACAAAACAATATAGTATTAAATCTGCTTTTAAACAACCCTGTGAACTGGAGGGAGGAGGATTACAGCAGCAGCCAAGAAAATAACACTCACACAAGAGTCCCCATTTTTTATATTATCATTTGACTGTATGTAATGACTTACACTGAAGAATTACATACTCTTCAGTGGATTACCAGCTTGAATAAATCAAACATGCATGGTGGTCAAGTTAAGAACACAGCAGGGGTATTAACTCCTCAGGTTTTCCTTCAGCTCTATCCATTTGACTGAATAAGACTGAATAAAGAAGGGACCTGATTAAACACATGCAGAAACATAATAAATGCATATTCTTCCATGCAGGGTGGTACTTGACTACATGCTCACAGGAAGTCGGGTGCTGAAACTCTAAAGCTCTGATGTTTATTTTATCTTTTATTGAGCTTTATTTAATTATTCTTCTCTGTATTATGGAATCACCAACATTAACCACATTTGAAATTTACAATAAAGCTAGTGAGGTCTGTTGCAGCTGAATCACACTGCATTAAGAAAATAAAAGCAGCTTTCCTTTAATGATTTACTTAATTATATATTACAGCATTGTGGCTGGAAGGGTTAGACAGCCCTTAACATTAGGGCTGCAACCAATGATTATTTTCATTATCAATTAATCCGACAATTATTTTCTCTAGTAATTCATTAACTGTTACTCCAGTAGAGCTGCTGGGACTTGGAGAGTTTGTGGCACTTTTCCCGCTGTATATGGTGTTTATATTATATATGCATCTCATTCTATAACCTAATCAACTATTTTTAATGAGTTTGAATTAAGCCTTGAGACCATTCTAAACCTCTGCAATCACATCCTCATTTTCAGCTTAGATTCATATGTTAATTTCTACTACTATTATTATTTGTGTGCCCCCTTCAGACCTCACAGGATTACAGTGTGTTTGAAAAGCAGGCACCACCACTAACCATTCTATTCTATTGTATTTTATCAAAAATATATAATTTTTTTCCTTTAGCCTGTTAATTACCGATAATGAATGTCAGAAATAGAAGCATGAATGCCAGTGCTGACTACTACAAATCATTGAAACAGCTTTTATTGCCAGAAATGTGCATGGACGCCCGCTAATAAACCTGAAATTGTTCAACCACAGAGAAACACTGCTTCAACATCATTTAAAGCACTAACACATTCAATGGTTAGGGCATGTAATCCTCCTCCATCCAGCACCTTCCTCGCCACTGAGCATCCTTTCTCTAATCAGCTAATTGCTGCTATGATGAATAAAAATAGTCTGACACCGCTGAGCCCATACAAGCGCTCGATGCACTTCTTTTTTTTTTCACACTGCACAACAACTAATGATGCACCATGTCCTTTTCTCTTAATGTTTAAACATTCAGCACATTCAAAGGTAGCAGATAATTGGAACAAGGTGACAATCCATGCTCCATAAACCAGGAGCTGTAGCACTGGCTGCTCTACTCATGACGGATGCTCATAAATATCAGCCTTAATGAAGGAAATGACTGCGGCACCAATAAGTCACTTATTTCCTCATTACGCTGGTTAATTTTAACACTGCCTCTAAAATGTTCCCTCACCCTATCTGCTGCCAGTCACAGGTTTCCACCTGACTTAACATGAGGCTCAGTGCAGTGGACCTGCAGCTGATAAATGCCCTGGGTATCAATCTGCATACAGGGACAAAGACAACATGGTGGCGGTACTGTCAGCTCAGGCTGGCTGACAAAGCCTGAGAGCCAGGGGACCATGTTGAACAGAAAACAGATTCAAATCAACAGTCTCTTAGAGACACGCCAGGGCAATAAGCACTACATGGCCTGTTTGGATACGCAAGGAAG